CTTTTAGTTTTTGATCAAAAGGATTGTCAATTTCTATTATTAAACATTTTTAACGAAATCATTTTGTAGAGGATGCCAAATTAATAAACTCCAGACATTCATATTTTAATTAGTTTGAATTTTTGTCTTGTTCTTGTCTAAAATAGTGGTGCAACATTTTGCTAATTTGTATGTGTTTTACTGTTAATTCTTGTAATTACTGTAATTTGACTATAAATTTTTAGACCAAATTCGCTAGGGTAATGAATTCTACAAGTTGATACTGTAGCAAACATACATTAACTTGTGAAAGATAACAACAATTGATGTTTAGAGATGTTGTAGTGTTGACAAAACAAAGTTCTTTCAATTTGGAATAACTTTGCTAAAGATCAAATCTTAGTATTTGAAAATCTTATGTACTAAGTTAATATTTGTCATTACTACAATAAATACTGGTATACATGCTATTTGAATTACTAGTATGCTATCATGGGAGCAGACCAAACTCAACAATCCTTGCAATGATATAATGTTTAGTGTCCTACCAGATGCAGTGATAACATAAATGAAGTTGTTTAAAAGAGAAAATTTATTCTATAGTCTCCTGTACTGCTTAAATAGCAAAACCCAATGGCTGTAACTTTTTTTTACAAAATTGAAATAATGCATCAAGTGGCAACATTTATGAGACATTCACCTTTGAAAGTCTGGGAAGGGAGACGGTTGAAAAAAAATGGTGCAATTATTTTTTTCCCTCAAACACTTAAACATTATTGATCATAATGATGTTGCTTTAAAGAAGTCCAGCAAACAGCGTAACAAAAATTTCTGCTCTCACCCCCCCCCCCCAGTTTTTGAAGATCAATTTCTAACTAAGTTAACTGTGCATGCTTGTTGTTCTCCAATGGATACAAAAATGCATTTTCCAAAGTTAAAATTTAACTACATGTACTTGTTAGTTTGATATTACCAGATTAAATTTGTTTATTTTGCATCATTGTACTTTGACCAGGAAGGCAATAAAAATGGCTGTCCATACTGATATTGTGTGTGTGGCTGGGCTGCTCAACAGATGGGGTCTGTATTCTCTGCCTTTTACTGTAATGTCATGCTAACCATCTTATGTACATGTACTATGCCTTGTCATTAGGTCTTTATAACAATTTAATCGACTCTGGGGAGGTTTATTGGCATTTCAAATAGTTTTGTAAATTGTACTCTGATGTTAGGAGTCTTTTGGGAAGTGATCTTGATAAGGTTTCATACATGTACTACATTGAGCAGTATTTATGTGGCTTTTTCCAATGTGATGATTTTTCTGGAGTATGAAGTCAGTTGAATCAAGGTGAATAAGTTTGTAGTTGAAATTTTTTTGCTAACATCACAGGTTGTGCCTAGAAAACTGTTGATTATTACTGTAAAATCTGTATTAGAAGCCGCGGCTTCTATTAAAATGGTACAATGCAACAGAGGGGATGCGGCTTCTATTAGAGCATCTACACATATGAGAAATGATGAATTTTTGGTTCTCAATTATTCAAATAGAATGGATGCGACTTCTATTAGGGATGCGGCTTCTAATACAGATTTTACGGTACTAGAGTTGACATAAAATGTTATTGCACAATGCTCTCAAATGCGTAAGCTCCATCAAGTATTAAACTTTTGGAGTTGGGGATGAACTCGGACATTTGTGTTGAATGACTTTGTCCTGAATACGAAGTCATTTCATTCAGTTTATGTTGTAATATCACCTTCTATCCATTTGTGTGTTTCTCTGCTTTCAAGATCTTGAAAATACTTGCTATATACATAGTTTTTTGGTAGGTTGCATAAAATTGCAATGTAATTTAAAACATAGGAAAAAAGGTATGTCTGCTGTATTTTAATTTTCACTGAATCGTCCCTTTTAGCGAAAATAAATGCTTTATGTTACTAGTATGAGTTTAGTTCCATCTATGAAGTGCACTTGATACTGGGGGTTGGTATATATATCATTTACTGTAAAATATTTTATTTTTGTTTGGATTAAATTTTCGCTGAAGAAATGATTTAGTGAAAATGAAATCCAGTGAATATACCTTTTTTTTATATTTTACATTCAAAATCAGTGAAAATAAATTCTATACATAACACCCAAAAAATCTTTTCAGCGAAAATGAATTTAGCCACATTAATGTACATGTCATTAGAGACAGATTTATGCAGAGATCCCAGGTACATACAACCTACTTGCTTTATTAGAAGGATACATGTATCTCCATTAGAAGAACATATATGCTAAATCATTAAATTATTACTTACAATGTATTTTGGTAGTAGAAAAATCTTTAATTTATGGAGATCTGTAATATCCATTTGTTTTCTGCTTGCCCTTATATTTATAAACAAAACATTACTGTAGTGTAATAAAAAACAAACAGTGCTTATAAAATTGCAATTAATTAGCCAATCAAGTATTGAAAAGTTCCATCCTAAGAGTTGTCTGTAATTTTAGTAAAATATTAACTAAGTTGAGAAGGGAATCAGTAACTGTTTCGATGAATCATTATTAAGTACTGGTAATCTATTTATTTTACTCAAGAATTGATAATCAACAAACTTATAAATTATAGAAAAATTCCAGAAATGTGATATTTTACCAAATTTCATTCCAGAAAAAAACACTAATTTCCATGGAAACGGTGAACTCCTTTTCTATCCAAATCAATTGATTCATCAAAGTAATACACAATTTCTAATAAGTGAATTGAATTGAGTGGCTTGGTTTGAAATAAATACAACTGACCCTTAATTTTTTCATTACATTACATTGTGAAAAATTCATGTGATGAACTTTGTGAATTATTGAATGCATTTTCCCTACCATTATTCTTTATGTTGATTATTAAATGCTAATTTTAAAACTCCTAAGAGGCTGGTGCGATATTTATCTTTATCATGTGGCACCCTGTGTATTCTTCTGCCACACAGTATGTTATGAAGCATATACATTATGTGTGTATATACAATGTATATAGCTGGGAATATCATTGCAAAGATGTCTGAACTACCTGCATATCTCCAATAGAAACACATGTAATAGAAACACATGTAAAATAGAAACACATGTAAAATAACTACCGGTAGATTATTCAAATATTACTTTATTTGACCATACACATACCTTTATGTAAGCGCATGTGCTACTAAAAAAGAAAATACAATTGAACGTTATGGAATTGAGAATTGTTCCACATAAATTTATCAACTGTGCATGCCTCAATATGCTACATACATGTTTGGGATAAGATGTCAGTTAATGTTTGGATATAAATTGATGGCTTGCTGTGTCCAGGGAAATTGATATTAAAATCCTGAAATTTCTTGTTATGAATCATATGGTATTCATGATCTTTATCGCTGAAATCTAGTTTATGTTCAATTTAGTGTGAAACTATGCTGAACCTGAACTTGCAATGAACTTGTAAAGTCTAGAGTTACAGAATATATAATTCTATTCAGTGTTTCAATTTATATGTTGTTTATTGATTGAGTCTAAAGTTGTGCTGGGAATGCTTTGATTCATCATCTGTTGTATAAACAGATTCCTGGCATCTCCTGCGATGCTTATTTAATATGATACTGTAATTCCCATTGAGAGAGTCAATTATTTACCCATTTCACCAGTCGCTGAGGTCTTAAAAGCGACTTTTTGTAAATGTCCATGAATCGTGATAATAAAACTGTTACTGTATTCTGGTATGCTGTTTTATTCAATGTGGACCAGAACAGGAAGTCAGTAGAAGACAAAAGATGTTTTTGTGAGTGTTGGGGAAAGTTGGTTAGCGTGGGGTAAAACAGAGTTGTTAATCCAAAAATTAATTGTCTTTTTGGTGATATAGCTCCATCTTTGGGAATCCGTAAAGCCATCCTACCACTATCTAGTTTACTCGCTTTCAAACTTGTCAGTTCATTTGCATATTTCTATTATCTATACAGTTATATATCCGTGTATTGTTGGGTAGTTAAAGTTTCATTGACGCCTGCTATGTTGTTGTACTTGAATTGAGCCTTGGAAATTTTAACAATGCATTCAACTTTTGTACTACATACATGTACAATGTACATGTCATGTACAACCATGTCTGGTAGGATACGATTGTTCAAAACATCAGCTGCTGGAAGCGTCCACAAATAGTCGAAATGAATTGGAAAAAAAATGATGTCAGCAGGCAAAATGTTACTACTACAGTATAAGTTGCCAACAGCCTATTTCATGTATGGGTTTGTCTCTCACAAAAACAAGCTATTATTATCCTTGCTATGACACAGCCTCAGTGTGCTCTTCTGGGATGAAATGTTCATGTACATTGCTGTTTTTCTTCAATTTCAAATCTTGATGATGCCATCAGAAATTGAGTAAACCTCCATTGAGAAAACTCGTGATGAAAATTCCATTGGGAATGAGAAACACCAGGCGCTTGATTTTTAAAGGTTTTCGTATAAAGTTAAGACGGTGGAGAAGGTTAGGGTTCTCCTGTGGGATCTTTACTTGCTGTGATTTTCAATATGTAGGTTGAGACTATTACCACCTGGGGTAATGTAGTGTTGCACTCCTTATTTGCCAATCTTTGGTTCAATAATTTCCAGTCGCAAGCTTGGAACTGCAATTACTATGGAAATATAATGTTGGATAAATGTTTTTCCATCACAAGTCTGACTATCAATCATAATGACAACGGAGATAAGATTGAGTATGCCCGGAGCATAAATCACTATGGCAACAGAGGCTGGTGTGATATTGACCTTTATCATGTGACACCTGTGTATTCTTCATCCACACATTATGTTATGAAGCACTGATATACAGTGCATGTATATATATATATATACATGTATGTACATGTAGCTTGGAATATCTTTGCAAAGATGTCTGAACTACCTGCAAGCAGTCTAGTTTGTGTACTAAGCAGCATTGCACTATACCAATAGAGAATCTTGCGTGATATATTATCATATTTCTATATTTATTACAGTAGCACTGCCCACCCACAATCTAGAATGAGCCCTGAAGCCAGTAAAGACTATTTTTCAAGGTCATTTGATGACATTAGCGTCTTAGATAAGTCTGATAAATCATCCAGCAACGAAAAAATACCTGACATGTCATCATCTAAGGGAGAAAAGGACGGCTCCAAGAGCGGTAAAGGATCTAATAAAAAAAGTTCCAACATTAGCTGGTATAATGTGAGTATATGAATAATAATTACATGCACATTTGCATTTGCATATTTGCTTTCAAACACTGACAGATAGCATTGCTCCCTCATTTTAGTGACATTAAAGTACTTAATTTTTGACAAATTTCCCAATAATATATAGTTGCGGAGTCAAAATTCCCTAAATCGTATGTGCTGTATAAAAAAATAAGAATAATTTTTTTTTCAAACATTGGGAACTGGTTCTCAAAATGAACATTTAATTCTTGTTGGACTGTTTGAAATACATGCAAATGGATCTCATGCATTTACACATCATGTGTACATTCCATCCTGTGATGTTGTCATAATCCATAATCTGTACACATATACAGTATGGTTGTTATCTTAGCATTTATTATTGATTGAGCTCTGTTTGTCTGTCCATTCATCCAAATGTGCATGCACTCCTGGTAACATCACTTCGTCAACTTGATTATAAATTGAATCATCTTCACTTGAACCTGTGTTTTGTATGCCAGCTACTCCAGCAATCTGACTTTCTTGATGGTTCTTGTCCGGTTGACCAACCCATATATTTTACATTCAACTGTTTCAAAAACATATTCAAGAACAGTTGATGCTATGCAACGAACATTTGATGCTTTGCAGTGATCAGTTGATGCTGTGCAGTGATCAGTTGATGTTATGCAATGAACATTTGATGCTGTGCAGCCAACAGTCGATGCTGTGCAGCCAACAGTCGATGCTGTGCAGCCAACAGTCGATGCTGTGCAGCCAACAGTCGATGCTGTGCAGCCAACAGTCGATGCTGTGCGTTTTCAGCTGTCTTGGTGTATGTTTTAGATTTTGAGACTAATCATAAATTATAACAATATCAATGCTCAAATATGGTCATTAGTATTCTCTCACTCCAATAACATTACCCACATGACAACAAGTAAATTATATCGTGCTGAGGCACAAACGCTGGCAGTAATATATAATGCAAAACATGCATTGCATCATGTCTTTGCAGTTCTGTTAGTATGACTGATGTGCATTTACTTCTTACCTAACAGGTTTGGAACACCAGTTACAAAGCAAAATGTGAAGATTTTAGAAAGATTTTTGGTAAACATATTCCAGACACAGAAAGACTTGTTGTAGGTAAGTCTGGAATAAGTGAGATACATGTAGAAGTGGGTTGTCAATTAGTTGCCCAACATTAGCACCTACAGAACTCAAAATTGTTTGGAAGCATGGTTGGCTGCTAGTACTAAAAGCTGGTAGTCTTCTGGCTATATTGGGTTTTTCATAAGGTCTGGTAGGCACTCAGAGCCATACAAACAAGTGTGGGCACAAATAAACAAATAAATGAAACATTGTACCAGTTATGTAGGGCACCCATAAAAAAATTGTAAATGTAAATAAACATTATTTTGTAAATACAGCTAATCTTGTAATATTTTTAATATTTCACCTTTATTTGACAGCGGTAATAAAGTAGCATGAAACTACTCTCAATATTTACAAAAATAATGTAACCAGCACATATACATTGAAATTTACAACACCCTGTGTAAGATCATAAGAGAGCGATTTGCACTGTGATGCCATTAGACTATGGAACAAAATCATATTAATAAGATGTAGTAAGGTGTATCAATTATAAATCAGGTTCCCGATACAAAAATTTTGGTTTCAATAATAGCTGATAAAAAGCCAGTGGGCAACCTGTATATACGGCAAAGCTTCGCAAACCAGCCAGCCAGTGTGAATGTGAGGGAGGTGATCGATGAATTAAAATTATTTTATTGATCTCTTAGACAGTCTGAATACAGTAAATGGCTGTGTAATACAGACTTGGATTAAAGCGAACCAATCCCATATGGTTGTCTATTGAATAAGCTTTATTGCATTTACGCATGTATGCATAGAAGGAATCATAGTTGCTAGAATTCTACATTTCAGTGGGGCAGTTGAAAAGTGTGATGTTGGGGTATGTGTTGCTGAGCAAATTCTCTGGAAACCATTCACTGTGCATGCCCATTCTCTAAAGACCAGTCACTGTAAAAAATCAACTCACTGTGGAATGTAGTATATCTATCATATTTTATTAGTCCCCGTTCGGACGAAGTCTGAAAACGGGGACTTATAATTTGGTCTCTGTGCGTCCGTGCGTCCGTCCGGAGTCATATCTCAGAATCCCTTGGACCGATTCCGTTCATTCTTTGCATGTGATTAGTACTTTATGTGGGACATATGCACATGCAGTGGTTTAGGGATTAGATTCAAAATGGCCGACTGGCAGCCATCTTGTTTTTTGAAAATGTTGTATTTTGGACATGCTTTGTCAGTTTTCATTCAAACTTGGTACATAGATTATACATGTATGTTAGGATACATGTCCATGATGATTTATTTCACAATTGGATCAAAGATGGCCGACTGGCAGCCATCTTGTTTGTTGAAAGTGTCGTATTTTGGACATGCTTTGTCAGTTTTCATTCAAATTTAGTTCATAGATCATACATGTTAGGATACATGTCCCCGACCGTCCGTGAGTTCTTGAGTCTGTCCGTCCGTGTGTCCGTCTGTCCGTGCGTCAGTCTATCCAACGTCATATTTCAGAATCCTGTGGACCGATTCCGTTCATTCTTTGCATGTGCCTAGTACCTTATGTGGGACATATGCACATGCAGTGGTTTAGTGATTCAATTCAAAATGGCCGACTGGCAGCCATCTTGTTTTTTGAAAATGTTGTATTTTGGACATGCTTTGTCAGTTGTCATTCAAACTTGGTACATAGATTATACATGTTAGGATACATGTCCATGACGATTTATTTCGCAATTGGATCAAAGATGATCGACTGGCAGGCATCTTGTTTTTGTTTTTTTATGCAGTATCTTGGTCGTGCTCTGTCAGTTTTCATTCAAATTTGGCATGTACTTTATACATGTTAGGATGCATGTTCATGACAATTTGTTTCAAAATCTGGTCA